ACAAGGGGCGGGGAGGGAGCGGACCCACCGGCAGCCACGCGCCAAGCATCTCTCCGCAGCCCCTGCCTTTCCTAATTAGGCCATGGCCCAGGCTAAAAATGTCCGTGGCTCCTGGCAGCGCCGTAGGGTCCTTTAGAGTCCTTTATATAGCCCTTATCTATATGTCACTTGAAATCAACCTGCCCTACACCCTCCCACATGGCCCTCCTCCCCCACCGCCGCCCCTCCGGCCGCTGCCGCCATCTCCCTCCGGCCTCAGCCTCCATCTCTCCTTCCCTCTTGCTCCTCCTCAGAGGATGCCAGCGGTCGGGGCGCAGCCGCCGTAGGGTCCTTTAGAGTCCTTTATATAGCCCTTATCTATATGTCACTTGAAATCAACCTGCCCTACACCCTCCCACATGGCCCTCCTCCCCCACCGCCGCCCCTCCGGCCGCTGCCGCCATCTCCCTCCGGCCTCAGCCTCCATCTCTCCTTCCCTCTTGCTCCTCCTCAGAGGATGCCAGCGGTCGGGGCGCAGCCCTCCGGAGGATGGAGGGAGGACAACAGCTTCTGTGGAGGGGGGGACGCAGCCAGGGGGCCCTCCTGGGGCACAAGTTGCCCACCCCGGGCTCCCCCACCAGCACGTCGCAGGGGCGAGGGCATGGCAGGGCACTTACGTGATGAGCATGGACTGGTTTTCGCGGTCTGGAAGAGAAGGAGCGGGCGTTAGGCTGGTGGCACCCACCTCACCCCCCGCCCTGAGAGCACGGATCCCCCCAAGATGGGGGTGGCCGCGGTGGGGGCTTACTGCGCAGCATGTCGTTGTAGGCGTTGTCAGCGATGGAGTAGATGTGCGGCGGCGCCTCGGAGCGCCGCTTGCCCTTGTAGGCAGCCACCACGGGTGCCGTGTAGACGGGCAGCCACTTGTAGGGGTTGATGGTGACGCAGAAGAGCCCTGAGTAGGTCTGTGGAGGGAAAGGGGGTGGGTGAGGGACGGGGGAGGCTGGTGCTCCATCACCTCCCCACCTCGCCGGGGCACCCCCCGGCCCCCCGGTGCCGTCGGCTCACGTAGATCATCCAGTGCGAGTAGCGGCGCTTCAGGTTGTAGAGCACGGAGGCCTCGTTGAGGTGCGTCAGCATGGCCATGTCCTCGATCATGTCGAACTTGGGGGGGTTCATGGGCTGCAGCTCGTCCTCCTTCACCACCCGTGTCTGCCGGTGGAGGGAAGACGCGTCAGACGGACCCCAGCCCCCACCAAACACGCTCTGTCCCAAAACTCCCGCTCCAGGTGGGCAGACACACTGACAGCCCCATGCTGGGGGCAACCCTGGCCCCGTGCCGGCTGTCCTTCTGACTGGATTGTGCTCCATTTTGGGGCTCAGGGAGCCCCACCAGCACCCCAGCTGGGAAAAGCAAGCCCCACGCCTGTCTGCTCCCCAGGGACACGGGCTGCGACCGAGCTCGGTGGAGGGGGTCCAAGCTGGGGGGCACCAAGACGTCACTCCACAACCCTGGAGGCTCGACACCTCCGTCCTGTGCTCTTCTTTGCAGCCTAAAACCCTGCAGCAGCGCAGCCTTTCACTCCAAGAGATCCCTGGTTATTTGGGAAAACAGCTGAACCTGTACCCCGGCACTTAGAACTGGATTGATTTAATCCTGTGAAGCCAAGCACTGGGAGACTGTCGTGTTAGGTATCTTGCCTGAATGGAAGAAGCTGGATTTAGCAAAGATCTTGTTAATAAAGATTAAATGAGGCCTTTCAAAGAGCCTTTTTTACATGTGAATACGAAGTGCTGGTGTTAGAAAGTGTTGGGTGTTAAAAGCAGGAGGGGATAGGAGGATAAGGGTGGGGTTACGTCTCATGAAACTTTTTCTGCTGGAAATGCTGATCCAGGGAAAGCAGATAGGATTTCAGATTTTGTAAATCCGTGACAAATTGTTAAAAAGAACAGTTTCAAGAGAGAATGGCAAAAAAGGTTTGGAAACTGTTTTGTTCACACAAGCTGAAGATCTTCAATCACGGCATTTTAAACACCAGAATAAACTTCTCAAATTGACACTCCCTCCCCAGTAAATTTTCTTTTGGGGTGGCAAAAAGGTTTTTGCCTTTTTTCCCAATTTCAGACAAAAAATATTTTCAAAACCTTGACACTTTTCACAGACGATTACATATATTTCTTTTAAACTCAGAAGATGTGAACTCTTCTCAGTGCCGTGGTGACTAACCAAGAAAAAGAAATAATAAACATCTACTGCCTGGTCAGGTCCTTGTTCTTTTTCCCAGTTTTACACTAATGGAATGATGTCACAAGGCCACACAACTCCTATACCCAATAAAAGAATATTAATTAAACTCGTTTGCAGCTAATTGTACTGGATATTGTCTTGACAAATATCAGCTGATCGTTTCTTGCTTTGCCTCCCTCCCACTGCTGGAAAGCTGGAGCCTCACCACTAGACACAGCTGGTCTTACCTCTTTGCCCAGCACCTGTTCTCCCAACAGCACCACTCCCTCCGCTTCAAATCCCGACTAAAACAAGCAGGAATTGGCCAACTGGCTCCTTACCTCCTGTTCTGACCCTCGAGATGAGCCGGGCAGCAGTTCAGCATCCCAAGGGCTGTGCTGGAGCAGGCGCTGCCTTTGGGCAGACTTCCCCCCGCAGCTGGGAGCCGCGCTGGACCAGCCCGACTGTCCCCTTCCGTCTGTCTCGCACCACAAACGGTGTTTGAAAGCAAACACACCACGG